TGGTGTGGCTTTATAATGTTAGGGGTGGTAGAGAATGGAACTAGAAGGAATCTACTCCTTACTATGTCTTACTCTTCAGGGTTCCTTCCAGCCCTTGAAGTCTGTAAGTCCTGAAATGTTAGGATTGTGCAAGGAAGGCAGGGGCCTGGACTGGTACATGATACCTCACTGGGACCTCCTCCCAAGCACAGTGGTTACATACAGCCAGAACTCAGCGGCACTGGCATTCATGAGACGTGTGAGAATGTGAGGATAAAGGATTGTTTGATCTGATTCTTCAAAGGAATTACTTGTTTGGAGATTTTTTTTTTCTTTTAACATTGATGGTTTTGGTTCTTTAGGAAGAGTCCTGAAAGTAGGAAAGTTTACATGTGTGTAACTAAGTCATGAGTTTAAACTGTATACCCTGCACTTGAAGGCTGCTGTGTGTCACCTCTAGTGAGCCTCATTTGTACCACATTTGGTCTGGTTTTGTTGTGCTAGACTAGAATCGACAAAGATGATTTTTATGAGAGTGCTTAGACTCTTGTGCTGTACGGACAGTTTGGGGTCTTTGGATACATTCCAGTGGCTATCAGGAGTATTGTGTCCTACTGACAATTTGATTTTTGAGTTGAATGGATACGAATTAAGTAGTACCTGATTTCTGTTTGGCTTAATACATAATGAATTTTATTGTCTCATGAATAAAACTGAACACTTCATGACTACATGATGGGGAAACATGTAGGGGCTTTGTCCCTACTGAAATATTTTTCTTACAGTTGTTTTTGAATTTTATTTTAGGCAAAAGTCAACAACTCTAGCTTAATTGGAGTAGGCTACACTCAGACTCTGAGGCCTGGTAAGTATTCTTGATAAAGTAGGATTGTTTTGATAGTATTAAAAAAATTAGTTTTCATTCTTCAGCTTATTTTTCAGACCTTTCAAGCACACGGAAGAGTTGAAAGAAGAGTACAATAAATACATGTTTACCTTTTGCCACAACTCTTTCTTTCCTTCCTTCCTTTCTTTCTTTTTCTTTCTTTTCCTTTCTTTCCCTCCCTCCCTTCCTTCCTTCCTTTCTCTCTCTCTCTCTCTCTCTCTTTTAAAGTAATTTTTATTCTGTTGATAAAAGTTCACTCATTGCTTTGGTTCTGTCTATAGTCTTGTTGACTTTATATAATATTTTGAAGCATGCTGTGTCTAGAGCAGCATTTCTCCAACTTCACAGTGCACATGACTCATCTTGGAGTCTGGTTAAAGTACTGGGGACTTTCCCCCCCTCCAAATAGGGATTTTCCTTCCCAAAGTTTATTTTGGCGATTTTGAAACCTAAAGAAAAGTTGGAAGAATGGTACAGTGAACATCATATACCCTTACCCTATGTTGACCAGTTATTAAAATTTACAACATTTATGTCTCTGAAACTTCACATACTTTTTTTAAAAAAATGTATGTTTTGCAGACATACAGACACGGCAGCTCCTACCATGTGTATCCTGACAGTAAGACATTTTTCTTTATAAGCACAATACCATTATCGCATCTAAGAAAACTAACATTAATGTAATACCAAATATATATTCAGATTTACCCCCGTCCCCAAATGTGTCTTTATTGTAGGTTTCCCTTTCTAGGATCTAATTATGATTATGTCTCTAGTCTCTTTTCATCTGGATAGTATACTCAACATTATTGTATATTCTAGAGCACTTTGAACTTGTTATTAAAACATTTCTCTGTGACTTGGTGCCTTACCTAGAATAGTAACCCAGTCCTTCTGGTGTCTCAGATACTTCCAAGCGCCCTCTGGTGGCCAGCACTAGTAGATCAGCTGACAGGCTGAGGAAGTGACAGGCAGGCTTCTGGGGATGACTGTGAAAGAAGGCTCAGACTGAGTGAAGTGCCAGGTACATCACAGTGTTTTGTTTTTGTGTTTGTCTTAATAGGTGTGAAGCTTACACTCTCCGCTCTGGTAGACGGAAAGAGCATTAATGCTGGAGGCCACAAGCTTGGGCTCGCCCTGGAGTTGGAGGCTTAATCCAGCTGAAAGATACCTTTGGGAATGGATATCAGAAGATTTGGCCTTAATATATTTCCATTGTGACCAGCAGCAGGCTTTTTTTCCCCCAAGAAGATGATCAAAACAAAGGATGATCTCAACAAGAGCTGTATTTTAAGTATTTAGACAGTTCCTTGTTAGCTGGTTTCTAGTTGAATTGGTTATCTAGTTACCAATGCTGCAGTCCTGCAGTCACCTATACATTATTTAAATGTATTTAACTGTTAAATGCGCTACCCACCAATAATGAAATAGACCTTTATGAAAACTGTGCAATTGTGTGCATGTTTGTTTTTATGTTCCTTTAGAAAACACTGACTATTACCATTGAATGAGATGGATCAGTGGATATTGAGATGAGGTTAAAAATTTTGTTAAGTTCAGCCATTATTACTTTTGGTATCCCAGAACATGACAAATTATGAATAAAACAAGTATACATAATTAATGGCTCCAAGTATTTGCAGAGTTCCACGTTTGCCAGCTAGGGTCAAATCTCCGTGGTAGCTAGCCAGTATTTAATTTTTCCAGTGAGTATTTTGCTCTTTACCTAAATCTGTGCCACAGAATCTTCTGTGTCCCTAGAATAATTCTACGAGCTTTTTAAGACTACAGTAAGAGGATACATGCTTTTACACTCTTCAGTTTGTAAGTCTGTGCAGAATTGCCCTGCATAACTGAAAGGAAAAAGAAGGTGCTGAAAAGATACACAAACACACCATACCCCTGTGAGCTACTGCTAGGAAAATAAAGTAGGCCCTGGTTTGGTGCGATGGTGTTAGGCGTACAGAAGAGGAGTAAGTTGTAGACAGTAAGGGTAACCTGTGGGACTCTCAGAGATCATTACTCATTTCCTTCTAGGCAGACATTGAAAGGTGGGTATAGGTAGGAGACCAGAGGCAACCCCTTTTGGCTGTGTAGCATTGGCCTTCATCTGGGTACGAATGAGACATTAATAGGTGGTTCTGATTGGAAAAGCAGGAAAGAGCAAGTTTTCTGATAGGAGATAATTGGAATGATATGATTAAAGGCTGGAGAAGATTTGTTCAACAAATCTGTAATAGTAGACCTGAAGAATGGTAGAGCCTGAGTGATAAGAAATGGGTAAGAAAATGGAAGGACTCATCACCCAAGAAATGATACATGCTACAAACTTTTGAGATTGAGAAGAAGCTGGTGAGAAACCAGAGCTCAAGCAAACTGTCCACACAGGAGGGTTGGGGGCATGAAGACCCCTCTGGTCCCACTTTGTCCTAGGGGACTGGCTTGAATGGCCCATGTGAATCATGGTTCTCTGAAAGGCCCTCTCCAGACAGACATGACTTAAGGGACAGAAGGTTAGAATTTGAGTCAGCCTGAGTCAGGTAAGAGGAGAAACATGAAAAGATGTCCATGCAGGCTAGGCCTGAAAGCAACTCTTACAGTGTAAAGTAGACCCACAGGTAACTAATCACTGCTGGTGGTCCTCTAAAGGGAAAAATCCTAGTCATGGGGACTGCTGCCCCTTAGCTAACAGGTGGCCCTTTATTGGGCAGTGGCTACAGTAATTTAGACTGAGATGTGGCACAAGTGAGTTAGCTGGCTCTCAAGGATCTGCTTAGAGGAAATTGAACCTATTCACTCATGTGCATCCTAATATGCTTTCATGAGTTAGAAAAGTGTAGGTTTCCAGCCATGGTCCTGTGTAGTGTCCAAAATGCGAAGTGTGTCCCAGGAGCTGTGAGGTCATGTGGCTTTTTTTTTTTTTTTTTTTCTTTTCTTTTTAGACGAGTCTTGCTCTGTTGCTCAGGCTGGAGTGCAGTGGTGCAGTCTGGGCTCACTGCAACCTCCGCCTCCTGGGTTCAAGCAATTCTGCCTCAGCCTCCCCAGTAGCTGGGATTACAGGTGTGTACCACCACACCTGTCTAATTTCTGTATTTTTAGTAGAGACCAGGTTTCACCATGTTGACCAGGCTGGTCTCGAACTCGTGACCTCAAATGATCCACCTGCTTCAACCTCCCAAAGTGCTAGGATTACAGGCATGAGCCACTGCACCCAGCCTCATGTAGCTCTTTAGCCTTGCTTCCAGCAGTCTCCAGGGACACTTCCCATCACCGAGGCTTACCAGGTAGTGACAAAGGCAGCTTGAATTCCAGGCTAATGCCACTTATGCCTGAGGCAGTGTCAGTGGAAAGAATTTGACCTTCATCTGTCAGTGGAGATAAGATCTATGAGGTTGGGGATATTTAAATGAGGAGCAGAGCACCTGGGTCGAAAGTGCTCCATAAGGCCTGGTTCCTTCTCCACCTCACCTCATAGGCAGATGGTTCAGGAAAGCCTGAAGTTCTCTTCATCCTCTAGGGAGTGTGGTAACAACTGCTGTACCTGTAGGCTTGTTTGCTTCACGCCTCCCTGGCCAATGATCCCCCTCACTTTCCTTCAGAATTTCAAGGAGACGGCGGGATACTCAAGTCAACCCCGAGGGCCTCAGGTCCAGGCCAACTGACCTGGCTCTCAGAGGTGATGTTCCCCTACCAGGGCCTCCACTGGAGAGGTGAGGCTGGGGAGCTGACTGTGCTGTGAAGATATGAGCAAGCCGCCAGCAGAACTGGCATCACCTACAAAAGCACACAAGTGACACCCGTGGGCACCTGCAATCCTCTTTCCTGTTGTCAGACACCATAGTGGCCCTCCACCAGTCCCCAGCTTCGCGGAACCAGAGCTTTGCCTGCCCTGAGGGAGAGATGCAGGAGGGAGACAAGCCTGAGGAGCTGGGGTCTCTGGCCATTACATGTGGCCAGGCCAATAAAAACTTCATAACCTGTCTCCTGCCAGCTGGAGGTTCCTGCAGTAGGGCCACAGACCTGGCGCCAGGGAGGGGACAAACCTCAAGGCCCCTTTCACTGAAGGAGCTATCTGTGCTGGGCCTTCCCTCCCTTCCCCATCCACCAGCGCCACACACGGAGGCTCAGGAGGTCGTGTGTCCCAGCCCCACTTTATTTTCGAATTTAAAACTCAGGGTCAATTCCTGGGGTTCCCAGGCAACCCTCCCTCGCTCACTAGGGGCCAGCCCTAGATCTTGAAGGCCAAGGTGAGGCCATCGCCCAGGGGCAGGAGGCTGATGTAGACCCTGACGTCCCGCCGGATGCGTTCGTTTAGGTTTCGCACACACTCGGCCGCCACGTCCCCTTTCGGAGGTTGCAGCACCTTCCCGCGCCACAGGACCTGCGGGAGGGCGGGGCCAACCGGGCCGTGGGAGGCGGGGCTTCGGAGGGAGGTGCCCGGGCGGAAGGCGGGGCCTCGGAGGGAGGCGGGGTCTCGGAGGGAGGTGCCCAGGCAGGAGGCGGGGCCTCGGAGGGGGGTGCCCAGGCGGGAGGTGATTAGAGCCGGAGACTGAGAACCAAAGCGGAGGAAAGCCTGGGTACCTACTGGAGCCGGAGCCCCGCAGGGGGTGGAGCCTATGTGACTGGACTAGGTGGGGCTTTGGGGTATAAGAGGAGTCAAGGAAAAAGATGGGGACCCGCCCCGAGAGGGTGCTTTCTCCTCCCCCGCAGTGGATCCCTTACTCTGAGGACGGCGAGGATGCCTCCGGGTCGCAGCAGCTGCAGGCAGCGCTCGTAGTAGGCAGCGCAGTTCTCCTTGTCCGCATCCACCACGGCCACGTCGAAGGTGCCGGCCTCGCCCGCCGCCAGCAGTTCGTCTTGCAGCGGGAGGGAGGGCAGGTGCGGCTGAGTCCGCGGCCCGGGCGTCCCTAAGGCCCCTCCCAGGCCGGCCCGGGCGCAGTGATAGCCAGCCGTGCCCTTAACTCGCAGGCCTAGTCACAGCTCGGCCACACAGCGACCTCGTTTGCAATGGCCACAAAACCCTTCCCGCTTCGGTGCTCACCCAGGGTCTGCAGGGCGGGCTTCAGCCGGAGGTCGATCTTGTGCTCCGCCTCGGCCTACGGAGGAAGCGGGTCAGCCGTTGCGCCCTCGCCTGGGGCTGCGGGGCTACGCGCGGGCGGCTCACCTGCCTCCACAGGGGCCGCCCCAGCTCCGGGGGCTGCGCTTCCACCTCGCAGGTCACCACGCGCCCGTCTGCCGGCAGCGCCAGGGCTAGGGCCAGGGCAGAGTAGCCCGTGAAGGTGCCTGGGACCAGAACACAGACGGGCTCAGAGCAGAGTGGGGGCCGGCCCAGAAACCTCGGCCCTCGGGGATCCCGGCCGCATGCCCCTACCCAGGTCCAGCGCCTTCTTGGCCTGGATGAGCCGCGCCAGGTTGGCCAAGAGCTGGGCCTGCTCGCAGGTCATCATGGAATCCCCCTGCGGCTGCTCCAGGGTCAGCTGCGTGAAAGAAGGTGTCACCAGCCATGCCGGTTACCCACCTTCGCCCTGGGGTCCCAAACTCCCAGGAGCGCGGTTCTGGGCGTGGCCTGGGGGACAGACCCTCCGGGAACGCCCACCGCACCCGGCCCGGGGAAGCCGGAAGCCCAGAGGGCCACGGCCCAACCTAAGGTCACACAGCCACGTGGGACCCGCAGGGCCCCAGAGGGACGCCCGTTCCCGTCCCGCGCCCTGCTGACCAGCCTCAGGCTTCGCAGCGCCGGGTGCTCCCGCATGGAGCGGCTCAGAAGATACTGCCACAGCGGGCTGTCCTCGGGAGGAAGAAGGCACTGCTCTCGCCGGCCTCGCCATGGGGGGCACCGCCTTCCTGCCAGGGAGAAGATATTGGATCAGGGTACAGGGCTCTGCGGCCACAGGGGTTAACCTGAGCCACGCCGCGCCCTCCTTTGCGCCCGCCCACCCGCCCGCCCGCCGGGACAGGGTCCTGCTCACCCAGGAAGAGGCCAGTGGCGAAGGCCGCGCCCAGCGCGGCTGAGCCCAGGGCCAGCGCGGCGGGCACGGAGAGCCGGGGCACCGGCTGGGTCATGGCGCGGACAGGAGGCGGCGGGAGGCAATGGCAGGTCACGTGCGCTGGAGCTCCTGGGACACGTCTCGGATTCGCGGGCCCGCCGGGCTCCACCTTGTCTGGGCACTGCCCGCGGAGCAGTGGTCTCGGGCATCATCTGGCGGCCACACAGCCTTACTGCAAGCCCTGCCCGATAGAGCCGGGCGCGATCTGGTGGCCGCGCCGGGAACTGCGTCCCTGCGGGCAGCAGGCAAGCGCTGGATCTGAATTTTCCCGCCTTTGCTCGCAGTCCAGGGGCCTGCGTCCATTGCTCCTCCTGCCAATGCTTTTTCTCCTCGCCACTGTTTATTCTGAGGCCCCTTGGGGCATATGTGGATTGTGTATGGAGGGCGCCAGTGTAAATTACAAGATAGTCACAAGTACAAGAGATACAGATTAAAGGGGGAAGGTCTCCCGAAGGCCTCCCGGGCAAGATGCCCCAAAGCATCAGGCTGAAGGAGTGAGGGACCTGGTTTGAGGGCACGCAGCCTCGAGCTGTGGTTCAGGAGCCCTGGGGTGGGCCTGTGGAACTGAGACCATACTCTTAGCTGTTAAAATCCTGCCTTTGGGGGCCAGATAGATATGAGCGTCTGATCTTGGGCCTGCCAGTCTCTCTGAGCCTCAGTTTCCTTCCTGTAAAATGAGGCCCACAATCTTACCATAAAAGGCACCAGATCCCACAGCTTCGCACACATTAGCACAATACATAAGTGGCAGCCGCTGTTATGTTTGTAGGTTGGAAGACACCTTGAGGAGAAAGCCAGTGAAGCTCCCTTGCAAGGTTGTTCTGCTGAAACAGTCCGGAGAGCACTGATTGAACCCCTACCATGCGCTAAACTCCGGAGGAGGTGAAAGACAGTCTTTTTTTTTTTGTCTGGGTCTCGCTCTGTCACCCAGGCTGGAGTGCAGTGGCACAATCAAGTCTCACTGCAACCTCCACCTCCCAATTCAAGCGATTTTCCTGCCTCAGCCTCTGGAGTAGCTGGGACTACAGGCACGCACCCCCACACGCTGCCAATTTTTGTATTTTTTTGTAGAGACGGGTTTTGCTATGTTAGCCAGGCTGGGCTCGAACTCCTGGCCTCAAGTGATCTGTTTGCCTCGGCCTTCCAAAGTGCTGGGATTACAGGTGTGAGCCCCCATGCCTGGCCTCTGGTTGGTATTCTTAGTAAAGCTAGTTTCAGAGATGCAGGTCACACAGAACTGGTGGGTGGCCTAAGCTTCACGACTTCTGCCCCTGTGAAATGGGGTTATGAATAGTCCCAACCTCCCAGGGGACCAAATAACAAAATCCAGGCGGAGGACTTACATGGGGTCTGGCACTTAGTCAGCTGTCACGTTACCTTTAAAAGGAGTCAAAGTCCGAAAGGCAGACTGTTATGTTCCTGCTGCTCTGCAGATGTCCCCTGGGGTGGAGGCTGTAAGAATCCTTTTTTTTTTTTTAGACGCAGTCTTCAAGTGATCTGTTTGCCTCAGCCTCCCAAAGTGCTGGGATTACAGGTGTGAGCCCCCATGCCTGGCCTCTGGTTGGTATTCTTAGTAAAGCTAGTTTCAGAGATGCAGGTCACACAGAACTGGTGGGTGGCCTAAGCTTCACGACTTCTGCCCCTGTGAAATGGGGTTATGAATAGTCCCAACCTCCCAGGGGACCAAATAACAAAATCCAGGCGGAGGACTTACATGGGGTCTGGCACTTAGTCAGCTGTCACGTTACCTTTAAAAGGAGTCAAAGTCCGAAAGGCAGACTGTTATGTTCCTGCTGCTCTGCAGATGTCCCCTGGGGTGGAGGCTGTAAGAATCCTTTTTTTTTTTTTTGAGACGGAGTCTTGCTCTGTCGCCTAGGCTGGAGTGCACTGGCGTGTTCTCGGCTCACTGCAACCTCCGCCTGCCCGGTTCAAGCGATTCTCCTGCCTCAGCCTCCTGAGGAGCTGGGACTGTAAGCGCCCGCCACCATGCCCAGCTAATTTTTGTACTTTTAGTAGAGAGGGAGTTCACCATATTGGCCAGGCTGGTCTCGAACTCCTGACCATGTGATCCACCGCTTCGGCCTCCCAAGTGCTAGGATTACAGGCGTGAGCCACCGCACCCGGCCAAGAGTCCATTTTAACAACGCTGACTAGGCATTGAAATCCACTGGGGGGTATCCCAGGCAGGGGCTAAGCCTGAGCAAGGCCCAGAGGCCGGCTTGTTGAGGGGTTAATGAGAGAGTGGCTTGGCTGAGGACGAAGGCCAGAAACTTGGAGTCATCTGAGCTGCAGGAACCTTGGGCCTAGTGGAGGCAAGGAAGGAGGCGGCGAAGCTCTGTGGGGAGGCTCCGGGCTGGAGGGCACGGCCTCTAATCAGAGACGGGGTGGGGCTGGTTCTTAGACCAATCAGCCGGCAGCCCCAGGAGCACACGGCTGTGTGGGGGCAGAGCCTGCCGTCTCCGTGCCCGGGTGCCCTTTCGGCCCTCCTGGGACTTGCCACCGGGCCAGCAGCCCTGCTCGAGGACAAGCTTCTTGCCCTTTACTCTTTTGCCCTCTACATCTTGCTTGGCCTCTAACTTGACTGTGAGCCTCTTTCTGCAGGGTAAGGACTGAGGATGCTGGTCTCTCCTTCCCAGGACTGAGCACACAGCAGGCGCTAAATAAATGCTCTTGACTAGAGTCCTGGCGCTGCCCGGCGCTCCTTGCTGCCAGGAGTAAAAATAGTAACAGCAGGACCCCTTTATTGAAGACCTGCGGGGCACCAGACACAATGCTTCCAGGATCCGGGGACAGCTGTGATCTTGTTCCCATTTTCCAAGCAGGAAAGCTCAGAGACCACCACCCAGACCCCCCAGCCAATAGAGGAAACGCGCCTACCGCTCCCCTGTACCCTGGGACCCAGGGGGAACAGGCCTTCCTGGCTCCACTGCTGGGACCAGAGCCCTGCACTCAGGTGGGGCCGGGGAAGGCCCTCTCCCTTCAGCCCAGGGGTCCAGGTTGCAGCAGGCCCCCAGCTCACACTGTAACTCCCTCCCACAGCCTGGCTTTAGGCCGGAGCCGTGACGGTTGAGGGGGAGCGGGTGGGGAGGGGAGGCATGTCACCATATATCCCCGTCAGATTAAAAAACTAATTTGAAAAGATTAATGTATTCCATTCTTGTTACACTGGCTGTGATACCTCTGGGCCTGCGGCTGCTCTGCTTCCTGATTATTGAATTTTTATGGCCTGGTAATTAATTGCAGATTCCCTGTTTTGTTCTATTTCTTTTTCTCTGACATTTTAATTTCAACAAAAAGCAGTGGTCTCCATGCAGGTTCTCTCTGGAGATCCTAATGGTCTATAAAACAGAATGACTTATAGACGTGGCACCCACTTCAGTTGGCGAGCGATTGTTTGAAACCTTGCTGATCATGCAAAATTTAATTTTTCCACCTCCCTCCCCTTTTTGCTACTCATTTCTTGTCTCTTGCATTGCGGCACCAGCATCTCAGCTCACCATGAAGTGAGCAGTGTTGCCTCCGAATCTGTTCTAGGGCTTTTTCCTAGAAGCCTGGGGGATGAAGACAGAGTGGGTTTTGATTCTTCCCCTGGCAGTGGGCCTGGTAGTGGGTGGGGTGGGGGGCTGAGCCTCCCTAAAAGGCCATGTGGATGTGGGCAGCAGCCCCCAGGGGAGGGAATGGGCAGGGGAGGTCATTTTCACCTGTCTCAGGTGCCTTCTGGCCAAATGCCATTGCCCCATTAAGCACCAAGGAACCTGAAGCCTCATCAGGGCAGAGAAAATGGGCATCAGCACCTGCACTTAGGCCCCCACCAAGCAGAGAGGGAGCCAGTTCAGGCTGAGTGGACTGATGCAGACAGATGCAGATAGCCAGACAGTCTTAGCTGAACGGGGTCACTGGGAACAGCTGTCCACACAAACAGGTCTGGAAGAGACCCTTGAGTTTCCATCCTAGTGGCCCCACTCCTATTTCTCATAGCCCTGCTAGCATCACACAGGCTGGCTGCTGTCGCCTGGGATCTCCTGGGACTGAGCAGGGCAGGAGGCAGAAGGGTAAGGTCATAGAATCAATCCTAAGGGATTGGAGTTCAGATGTCTTTTGGGTCCAGGGAGGTGAAGTAAGTGGGGGGAGATAATAGGGGGTGGTGGGGACTGGAGCACTCCAGAGCTCACCCTTCACCAGGGGACATGGTGGCCACTTGGCTTTAGCCTTGGATGCCAAGTGGGAAGATGGGCCCAGTATGGCCAGAGCTTCCAATTCCCCAACAGAGTTTGGCAATATGGCTTTCGGTGTGAAACTTCACATTTTAAACATCGGGGTGTGTGTGTGTGTGTGTGGGTGGGTGTGTGTGGGTGGGTGTGTGTGTGTGTGTGTGTGTTTAAACACTGTTGGCCAAACTGAACACATCTTTTTTTTTAAATTTATTTTTTTGAGTCGTAGTCTTGTTCAGTCGCCCAGGCTGGAGTGCAGTGGTGCGATCTCGGCTCACTGCAACCTCTGCCTTGCCTGCCAGGTTCACACCATTATCCTGCCTCAGCTTCAGTCCGAGTAGTTGGGACTATAGCGCCCGCCACTATGCCCGGCTAATTTTTAGTATTTTTAGTAGAGATGGAGTTTCACCATGTTAGCCAGGATAGTCTCAATCTCCTGACCTCGTGATCTGCCCATCTCGGCCCCCCAAAGTGCTGGGGGATTACAGGCGTGAGCCACCACGCCCGGCCTGAACATGTCTTTGAGCTTCATGTCTGCTCTGGCTCATGAGGCACCAGTTTCCTCTGACTCTGAGCACGAATGAGAGAAATTAGGGCATGAAGCGGAGTCCCCTAGAGTGAGAAGGGCCTCAGTGGCCAGCAGACCACCACCGATGTCTGGGTGAGGTCTGCTGGGCTCCCTGAGGAGAACACTACCTTTTACCTAAGATGTCACAGGAGGCAGGGCTTTGACTCCAAGGGCTTTAGGACGGTTCAGGCCGAATGCACTGACACAGATAGACACAGACAGATGGCGACTTGGGGGCTCCTGGGGCTCCTCACATGAGCTGGGAGCATGAGGGGGCCAGAGTCTGGTCCCACCTCCTCTGTGCTGAGATACTGGGGAGCTGACCCTGGCAGTGCCTCTTGTGACTCACTTTCCTCATCTGGAGAGGCTGAATGGGAAAGCCACAGCGTGGGCTTTAGAATAGATGAACTTGGGTTCAAACATCTGCCCCACCACTCACTTTGCAGCTGAGTAAGCTCAGGGTTTCTGAGAAACTCTAGAAAACTAGGAAATGGGCATGAACCTTCTGTCTTCGTTTTCCATTGCTGTACAACAAATTGCCACAAAGTTAGTAGCTTAAAACAAAACCCATTTGTTATCTCGCAGAGCATAGGTCAGAAGTCTGACAAGGCTGGTTGGATTCTCTGCTCAGGGTCTCACCAGCTTCAAGACAAAATTCTCCCCTGGGGCTGTGGGGCCTCTTCCAAGCTCACCAATTGTTGGCAAAATTCAGTTCCTTGTCCTGAAACCCTTCCATCTTCAAGGCCAGCAGAGGCACCTGGCATCTTTCTGGTGCTCCCAATTGCTGTCTTCCTCTTTTGCTTATTTTTATTTATTTATTTTTTTTTGAGACTGTGTCTCTGTCACCCAGGCTGGAGTGTACTGGCACAATCTCAGCTCACTGCAACTTCTGCCTCCCAGGTTCCAGTGATTCTCCTGCCTCAGCCTCTCGAGTAGCTGGGATTACAGGTATGTACCACCACGGCCAGCAAACTTTTTATTAGTAGGAACGGGGTTTCACCATATTGACCAGGCTGGTCTCGAACTCCTGACCTCAGGTGATCCACCCACCTTGGCTTCCCAAAGTGCTGGCATTACAGGTGTGA